CCTTGGAGAGCTCCCTTAGGATTGTGGTCCCAGGATGTTCAGAAGGGCTGAGCCCAGGGCAGGCTGGTGCCAGCCTCAGGCTCTACCAAGGTTTCTCAGCAGCCCACTGGGCACCACGTCCTCTCCCTGGGCTCCAACTTCCAAAAGCTTGGCATCTCCTCCTTGGACTCCATAGTGTCTCCCCTACTCTTTTTTGTTTGTTTTTTGTTCTGTTAAAATTTTTTAATTGTGATTTTAGCAAAAGTTTATAGAAAGGCTGGGTTTTAATTCATTCATTGTCACAGATTTTTTCTCCCTCCTCCTCTCTCCCTACTCTCTCCTTTTTATTGTGATATAAGTGGAATTTTACAGAGCAAAGAGGCTTTCATTCAACAATTGTTGTTTATTTTATAGTATTGATTACAATATCCTCACGTCACTGCACTCTTCCCCCTTCCTGTGCATCCCATGTCTACTCATCCTTCTGCCCTACCCCTTCCTGCCTTCTGGGCTTTCTCACTGGGCAAATGCTACCCTTTTGACTTACATGCTGGTTATTCCAAGGAGTGAGTGCCTCACTGGTGTCAGGTCACCAAATAGACCAGTTTATTTTTTTTTCTATAATTATATTTTATTAATTTTCATAAACATTTACAGAGATTTTGGGCTTCCACTCATTCATTGTTGCACTATTCTCTCTACCCTCCTCCCAGTTTGTTCTTGTCCAAATGCCACAGTGCTTGTCAAAGCCAGTTCTGATTAATCTTCTTTGTCAGTGTGTCCTTTGCCATTCCCTATCACTCCTCCCTGAGAGAGACTTCACCCTGAGTCATAAGGAAAAGGGGACGGCGTATTCTCTTAGCTACTTCCTGCTGAAAAGGGACGCTGTGGGTTTCAGGGTGAAGATCTTCTCTCACTACTCTAAACAAATAGACCAGTTTATTATTTGGCTGAAAGTTGAGCCTCGGGGTTGAGTTTTGTTCCAGGTTCAAAGGCTGACCAAGGGCCATAGTCTCTATTGGAGCAGTAATCCTGGCCTCTCTTACATCTGTGAGTTTTGGTCCACCCTTCTCCTGTCCAGGACCTTCTCCAGTGTCCACGGGCTCTTCTGGATATTGAATGAATGGGTCAACATTCACAGACCTTGCACAGATGGTAATCCACATAAATGTGGGTGAGCCAAGTGTTAGCTAAGGGACCCTCTTGCCCTTATCTGCTGATGGAGAAGCCTCCACCCTAAATATCCAGCACGTGGCTATCACTGAGTCCATCAGACCACCACAGTGACTGCACAGGCCTGCAGCAGCTGATGGAGGGGATTGGAGTCTCAGGCCTTTCCTCCCAGGTGTCTCTGGGTAGATGACCACAGCTTTTGATTAACAGCCAAGTGTCAGCTGTTTGTGCCAGCACGGAACCCTCAAACACCCATGGGACCCTGACTAGCAGGCTTCACTATTAGAGACTCAGGAGCCTCAGCCAGCTTTCTTTTCTCCCCCACGCCCAGCGGAGGGAACAAGCGAAAGCTGAGCACTGGCATCACCTTGATCAGAGGACCCCCAGTCATCTTCCTGGACGAGCCATCCACAGGCATGGACCCCATGGCCCGGCGCCTGCTGTGGGATATAGTGGCCCAGGCCCGCGAGACTGGGAAGGCCATCATCTTCACCTCTCACAGGTAGATCAGGGCTCCTGGGGTCACAGAGTGGGCAGGGTCTTTGAGGGGTCCCCACTTTGAGTTCAGGGATCAAGAACCCCAGGTGGGCCCTCCCACAGCATGGAAGAGTGTGAGGCCCTGTGCACGTGGCTGACCATCATGGTGCAGGGCCAGTTCAAGTGCCTGGGCAGCCCCCAGCACCTCAAGAGCAAGTTCGGCAGCGGTTACTCCCTGCAGGCCAAGGTCCGGTCTGATGATCAGGAGATGGAACTGGAGAAGTTCAAGGACTTCGTGGAGCTCACCTTCCCAGGTGTGTGAGGCCAGAGGGCTGGGCCACTGAGGGACTGGGCCTGCCCCTCAAATCCTGAACCCTGGCCTTTATTGGGACTCGGTCTCCCCCTGTGCAGGCAGCATCCTGGAGGACGAGCACCAGGGGATGGTCCACTACCACCTGCCCGGCCAAGGCCTCAGCTGGGCCAAGGTGAGGGGTCACCTCCAAGGTGAGGGTACCTGCAGTGTCACCACTTCCCGGGTGCCCCAGCTGTCCTCTTGGTACAGAAATCACACTCAGGGCTGCTCAGCTCCTCCTGTGGCATCTCCATGGAAACACCTGGAGATTCAGACAGAACACACAGGTCTATGCTTGATCAGCATAGACCTGAAAGGCTTGCTCCCCTGCCTCTGGGCGCGCTGACCCTCAGGACAGAGTAGAACTGCCCCACAGGGTTCCCAAGACTGAGGGAAAGCAGACTGCCTCAACTTTCTCCCTCAGAGTATCTGGTGAGTTTGAACTGCCCACTTTGATGTGAGCAGCCAAAAGCACTTGAACCACTGTGCCACTTAGGCCTCCTTCCCTGGGGGGCAATCATCTTTGGATGATTTCTTGGGAAGGGCTATGGAAGGACTATGGGAGCAGCTGAGAGAGGGCCTGGCCATAGGGGCCTTGTCACCTCCCCCTCCTCTCCCTGGGTGCACCATTATCCTGTCCTTCTCGGAGCTCTGCCCACAGCAGTCTCCTCCATCCTCCAGGTATTTGGGATTCTACAGCGAGCCAGGGAGACATTCTCACTGGATGACTACATGGTCAGCCAGGTCTCACTGGAGGACATCTTCCTAAACTTCGCTAACCTTGCACCCTGCAACCAAGAGGCAAAGGTGTGAGGCCTCAGAAGCTTTTTATTAATTATTATAATAAAAAAATAATAATTGTTAATAAATAATAATTACTGTTACTTATGTAATAAAGACTTTGGCACTAGTCAGCCAGGTGACAGCCTGCTAGTGGCTTCCTCCAGACCTCCATGGCCAGGGTTCCAGGGTAGGGGGGCCTGGTGTGTTATCCTGACTCACTGCACCTGCATTTTCTCCCAGACCCAGCCATGAAGGAGCCTCTGTGGACTCACTGTCCTGTCCTGCTGAGCTCAGCCTCCTGCACACTTGGCTTCCCCCTCCTGCATTCCCCAGCCTTCCCTGAGAGCGAGCTGCACAATCTAGAATGTTTCACTGAGTCCTTGCTTCAGCTGTCTTACAGCACAGTGGGAAAGTGACTGCCAGTCTGGCCTTACATGACCCTGTGACCAGTGTGAGGGTGGGGGAGGAGTGCCCTGGAGTGACTGCCAAGATGAGACACTGATTTCAGAAGAGAGGAGACTACCTACCTCAAAGAACAGGGCACAGGGACAGTCAGGGTAGGATAGATGAGGGCCTCTAAGAGCAGGATGAAGGGACAGTCAGGGTGGGAAGAGACAGATGAGGGCCTCTAAGGCAGGATGCAGGGACGGTCAGGGTAGGACAGTCAAGGCCTCTGAGAGCAAGTGGCAGGAACTGTGAGGGTGGAACAGACAAAGCCTCCAAGAGCAGGGTGCAGGGTCTGTCAGGGTGGGACAGACAGGGCCTCCAGGAGCACAGCACAGGGACAGTCAGGGCGGGAAGGGACAGACAAGGGCCTTTGAGTAGTGGAGGTGGGAGTGCTGCACAGACTTGGGGATGGAGGGAGCACCCCACTTGGAGAGTTAGGTCTCTCCATAACTACCCACGAGGAGGCTCCATGTGCAGCCCTGAGAACAAGAGGATGCCTCTCCTTGGCAGACATTTTACTAAGTAGCCACAAAGGATGATAAAGTAACCATTTCTGGAACAGTAACCTGCAAAGCCAAAGGGTGGGTGGCAAATTATAAGAATTCAGAGAGGGGAGGTAGTTTTTGACAGCTACTCCCTGTTCTCCCAGATCTGTAATAAAGTGCAAATGGATATTGAACAACAACAACAAAAAAGAATTCAGAGTGGGACACCATTACTTCCTGTCTTGAGCAGGATGAAGGTCCCCAATGAGTTGACACAGCTTACCAGCACTGAGCTGACGACTCCTGGGCTTCCTCTCCTAGTCAGACACCTGACTTCCAGGGCCTGGGATCCTTGCCTCTTGGGGACCATTAGGCCCTTCGTGTCCCCTGTGCTGTGAATGATTTAACTTTGCTGCCTCTGGCTGAGGCGTGTCACCATCTTAGCAGGAGTCCGTGAGCCCAGAATAGAGAGGGCAGGTGGCCAGACCTGCGCTCATCAACAACTCACCTCTCCCAGAAGACTCTGCTTTCCCCCTTGCCGGACCAACAAGGTGTGTTTGAGGTTGAATACAAAGCTGTGATGAATGGGGCTGAGTTTGCAATTTGCAGACTCAAAAAATTTGGGCAGACAAGGGACAGTGAAACAGGGTGAAAGAAATGTACCCTGAGGCAGAGAGTCTAAGGCGAGCCCGGCTTCACAGGAAAAAAACAACCAAAGTTGCTAGCTGAACTACTGGACCTGAGATACCAAGCCTTGCTCACAGAACTTTCTCACGAGGACTCAGGTCACTAAGCCAGAGTCGACCTGCGGACGCACAGGATGCAGCAGAGGGGAACCCAGAACACCTGGCCGCACGTCTGCATCCTTCTAAAGCTTGGCAGTGCCCAGCCGGCGCGAACTCAGGTCTTCCTGGAGTTCGGCCACAATTACGTTCACAGGCAGGACACACAGCAGACGGGCAGAGGGTATCACCGAGGGTCAGAGAACCCAGTTTCATCTGCAAACACGCTGGCTAAGGAGGCGGGGCGGTCGCGCACGTCCCGCCAGTCAGCGCCTGGCATTCGAATTCGCGTCCCGGCGCTGCCAATGGCGAACGCGTGGAGCGGGTGGGGCCGGGACAAGTGGGTGGGGCCGGGACAAGTGGAGCGGCCCGGCGCCGCCGCGTCACGCCCCCTGTGCGTGGGCCAATAGGATCGCCGGACGCATTTGAAAACCTAGAGCGGGCAGCAGGCGAGTGTGCTAGTGCGCAGCGGCGTCTCCGGCTCGGCGTTCGCAGGCGGGCTCGCAGAACGGCGCAGCGGCGATGGGCAGCGGCGGTGGTGAGTGCAGGCGGTGCGGGCTTGGGTCGTCCACGGGGCCGCCGGGACCGTCCCCGCGCGCCGGTCCGCGCCTCTGGCCCCGAGGCAGGCTACATGACCCGTGAGGGGGCGCTGGGTCCCGGGAGGTATGGTCGGGTCGCGCCGATGAAGTGGAAGCTGGAGCGCTTGGTGAGCTCCATGCCCGCCTGGCTTCTCCAGCGGTTCGGCCTCAGCTGCGGCCCACCTGGGCTCCTGCGTGGGCAGGGGCACCGGGACCACTCCCCAGTGGGGACCTGGGCCGGCAGGACGCGGGTCAGAGCATCCCCCCGGGCGCGCGCGCGATCCCATTGCAGGTGATGGCGACTGGCAGACGCGGGCAGGGTCTGTCACCGGGCACCCGGGAGCCCGCCGCACTTCTTCGCCCGTCGGGTGTTTGTCATCTGCGCACCAGGTCCCAGTACCGCAGCAGTCAGAGCATTCGTCTGGTTGGAAAGCCGCTGGTTGGGACCCAGCTCCAGGAGAGAAAGATGAGGCAGTCAGCTTCCTAGGAAACCCAATGGGGCGGGCCTATTCCGCCCTCCAAGGTTGCTGTGAGTCAGAACTGACTCTGAGAGCTGTAAATCCTGGTGGCCTAGTAGATTAAGTGTTGGACCACTAACCAAAAGGTTGGCAGTTCGAATCCTTCAGTCCCTCCTGGGATTACAGCCTAGGAAATACTGTGGGGCGGCATTCTTAAACCCCCTTGGTGATACTGCAAAGGCTGACAAGGTATGAATGAATGCCACAGAAATCGCAGGGCGTCCAAAGGGCTGTGCAATGTGTGGTGGCTCAGCCTCATTTCATACCTGCAACATTTTTTTTTCTGGGACAGTTAGCTGAGGAAAACGTGAGGAGTGGGAACAACTGTCAGAACAGAATCCCTGGTGTGGGATCCCCAGCCATTAAGTCAATTCAGATTCAGATCTTGTAGAAAACAGCAGAGCTGCTTTATAGTGTTTCTAATGCTGTGAATCTTTTACAAGAGTAGACTGCCTCATCTTTCTCCTTCAGAGCAGCTAGTGTGTTAGAACTGCTGACTTTTTGGTCAACAGCTCAGTGTTTTAACCAGCGTGCTATCAGACTCCTCCCATAGCGAAGTGATGTCATATCTTCCATTTCTCAAAAACAGTTGATGAATAGTTGAAGGTTGTTCTGTCTTTCCTAATTCATTTTATGCCATTTTCTTAATCTTTTGTGGGAAACAGAAACATGGCCTCCTTTCTTAGGGTAGGGACAGTAATTCTTTTTTTTTTGTTTTTTTGGGTTTTTTTTCTATATTTTATTAATTTTCATAAACATTTACAGAGATTTTGGGTTTCCATTCATTCCTTGTTGCACTATTCTCTCTAGGGTAGGGACAGTAATTCTTGAGTTTTGCTCAGATGAAAATTTTCTTGTCATCCATGATGACGGTTAATATGCTTATACCATCCTGGTTATAATTTCTTGTTTGTTTCTTAAGTGGTCCACTGTAGGTGTGCCAAGTGCTTCTATTACCCTACGAAGAGGAGAATAAGAAAGAGACCCCGAAACCTAACCATCTTGAGTCTCCCTGAAGATGTGCTCTTCCACATCCTGAAGCGGCTTCCTGTTGGGGACATCCTCTCAGTCAGAGCTGTAAGTGACCCCAGTGTGGCTGCTCATACCACAGAGGCCTTGACATCTTAACTGTCAGGGCCAAAATTGGGCTCTGGAGGAGGGCAGAGGGCAAGAGGATAGTATGCTTAAGGGTTGCTCCTGGCCCTCTGCTGTAACCAATGCCACAAGTGATGACTTTAATAAACAGATTCAGTCTCTCGCAGTCTGAGAGGCTAGAATTCAGGGCGTCAGTTCTGGGCAAAGGTCTTTGTCTCCTTTCCCCATCTGTGCGTCTCTCCTTTAGTGATCTCCACGTGCTGGCATCATTGCCCTGCAACCAGGAGATCACAGCACAAGGACCCTGGGTTCAGATGACACACTTCACTCCTGGTTCCTCTTCCCTGGTGATGGTCAGATTCCTCTGAATTTCACTCACTTGTTTATCTTCATTTCTATCTCAGAAGAGATTGTATGAATTATTGAAGGGGCGCTGATTTACTCTGTAAAGTTTTACCCAAACTACAATTTTATTTTTTCATTCCTTTTACAAGGATGGTGAGACTTCATCTCAGATACTTTTTAATTTTTTTTATATTGGTTTGCATGCAGAGTTTGTATACATTGTGTCTCATACTATCCTTCATTCACATTGTTTCATCCGATCATTCCATTCCTTATGTTTTAGAAAATGAATCACTGTTGAATTATGCCCACCACTGCCCCATCTTTGTAGATCCCACGGGATTGTTCTCATTCCAGTTACCTCCCTCTCTCCACCCACCAAATTGTGCAGCCCTGTGATATCCTCCCTTCTCATCCTCACCCATCAGCTTCCCCCCCACACACACACTTGGGTCTCCATCCACATTTTACTAGTTGTTGATTTTCGTCAAGTTGAGCATGACTCAGAGTGAAGCCTTTCTATAACTGTCGTCGTTTCTTAAAGTTCATTAAGTTTCCAGAGGCATGCTGTTTAGGAAGTAGATGCCACTCCAGCTTCCAAATTTTACTAGTTATCCTTCTATCTTTATAATAATGGTCTTGTGCAGGATTTATCATTATGAGACTGAGTTAGTTCACTCAGCATAATGCTCACCACAGTCAATTCCAAGTTGTGTAGTAGTTTTCAAGATAATACTCAGTATAATTTAAAAAAAAATATTTGGTAACTCCCACCTGTCACCCTCACTCCACAGGTACATTCCCACCTGAAGTACCTGATAGACAATCACGCAAGTGTGTGGGCCTGTGCCAGCTTCCAAGAGCTGTGGCCTTCTCCAGAGAACCTCGAGCTGTTTGAAAGGTACCTGCCCCACCAAGAATGGCCTGGTCCCCTCCTCCCCTGGGTCTTCCCCTGGCTTGGGAGCCTGGCTCATTTGGCCTGACTCAGCTGTAACATGGACTGCACCCCGGGGTGCAGCCAAGATGGCTGATACCTGAGTCACATGACTGTTGGCAGTGGCTGAATTAGTAATGTACACTGTGCGACACTGATCAGTCATTTTCAGGGGGTGCTTCTGAGAGGTTCCCCCTGTAGTCCTGGGCCATCCGCGTGGCTCACACTGTGAATCAGCTGTGTGTAGAAATCTTGCCTTGGCCAAACCTCATGGTACCATCTCACTTAATGGCTGGTCCCCACTGCTTGACCAGGCCAGGATCCAGAGAGGGCGTGGGAATGCTGTGTCTACCCTCCCACATTGACCACTAGGCAAAGTTCAACTGTGCTTGTCTCGTCATCATCGAATTGGAACTGACTTGTAGCTGAACCTACGGCCAGTTTTCAAAGGCAGTAAATCACATGAGAGGAGACTTCCTGTCTTTCTCCCATGGGACAGCTGGTAGATTCGAACTGCCACTGAGTGTGCTAATTGTCCCATTTCCCTCCAAACCCTAAACCAGAAAACATCTAATCTGTTTCCTTTAAAACTGTTCCAACTCACAGCAACCCTGTGGGACAGACTAGTACTACCCATTCCTCGGCTGTAAATCTCCAGGTCTGGGGCCATTCCTCATGTATTAACCCTACAAAGAGGTCTGGGTTAGAACAGCTGGGAGGACTCAGATGAGGGTCCCTTGGAGATCTCTTCCTCTACTGAGCTCCTGGAAACCCAGAGCCCTCAATGCAGGGCAGCTACATGGCTATCGCCTTGACCCCTCATTGCACCACCAGGCCTCCGTTAGAGAACCATAAATAAATAGCCTCCCATGATCAAGTAAATCTTAGGTCATGACCCTTGAAAACAGGTTATTCTCATGCTAGACAGTGTACCGTGTAAAGAGCTCACAAAGCTGTGCAGCTCCTTCAGGCCTGCCATGGCCGTGAGCAGTCGCTCCCACTTCCCCCAGCCCTGGGCAACCTCTCATTATTTTTCTGTCTGTGCATCTGCCTATCCAGGGCACCTCTTGTAAATGATTTCACACCACATGTGGGCCTTCGTGTGTTTTGTGTGAGTGTCCAGTGTCCTTGGGGTTCATTCATCTGCTGCCGGAGTGTCATAACTTCAAACCACAGCCATTGAGGCCTTTCTGGCTCTCAGCAGCCCACAGGTCAGAAGAGAACTGCCCCAGAGGGCTTCTGAGCCTTGTCGCCTGCAGAGCAGCTGGGAGGCTTGGGCTGCTGATTTTTTTTTGTGGGTGAGCACTTTAACCACTATACCACCAGACCTCTTTTTGTTGTTAGGTGCTGTCCAGTAAGTATGACTGAAAGCAGCTTTGAACGTCGGATCTGAATCCTGTCCTATCCTGTGCCATCTTCACTATCTGACACATTGAGCCCATTGCTGCAGTCACTGTCAGTCCTCTTTTTACCATCCATCCCTCCACTCTTCAAAGCATGATGACCATCTTCATGGAACAGCCTCTTTTAGCAAAAGTACATGAAATGAAGCTATTTCATCTTTGCTCCAAGGAGCACTCTGCTGCACGTTTTCCAAGATGTGTTTTGTTCTTTTGGTAGTCCATGGGATAGTCAGTATATTGTGATTGAATATACTATGGCACCTTAGTCTTCAAAGTTTGTCTTTGCTATTGTACATAGGGTTACTATGAGTTGCAAGCGACTTGATGGCACATAACAACAACAACAACAGTGACTTTGGATTCCTTCCATCTTTTGATGCTTCGTGGACCATTCAAGTTTTTGCCCATAGCATCTCAATATTACCCCTCAAGGCTTGAATTTTTTAGTTCTTTCAACTAGACATAGTCTTCAAACTGATATCATTGCTTCTCAGTAATTTGGAGAGGTCTCTGACAGTAGACTTGCCCAGTGGAATATGTTTCTTGATCTCCAGACTGCTGATACCAAAGATGTTGATTGTGAATCCAAGTAAGATGACATTGTAGGCAATTTCAATCTTTTCTCCGTCTATCATGACGTTGCTGTGCAGCAGTGAAGATTTTTGTCTTCTTGGTGTTGAGATGCAGTTCATATGGAAGGCTGTATAGTCTTTGATGTTCTTAAGACCTCTCTTTCAATAAGGAAGGCTATGTCATCTGCATAAACAGATTGTCGGTGATACCACATTCTTCTTCATAGAGTATGCTTCTCGAATGATATGCTCAGAGTACCGGTTGAGTAGGTATGGAGAAATGATATAAGCCTGATGCACATCTTTCTTGATTTCAACCGTGCAGTGTTTCCTTGCTCTGTTTGGACAGCAGCTTTTTGGCTTTGGTATAGGTTCCATTTGAGCATAATTAAGTGTCCTGGGTTTCTCATTCTCAGTGTTAGTTATAATGTGTTATCATCCACATAATCAAATACATTTCCATTATCAATAAAACACAATTAGACATTCTCCTGCTATTCTTTTCTTTCAGCCAACATCCATCTGATACCAGCAATGATAACCTGTTCCTAAACCCAGCTTCAAAATTCTTTGTCAATGTACTGTGACAACCATTTTTGGATGATCTTCAGCAATATTTTTCTTGCATGTGATACTGATATTCTGTAATTTCCACATTCTGTTGGCTCACCTTTCATGGAATAAGAACAGATACAGATCTTTTTCAGTCAGTTGGCCAAGTAGCTGTCTTTCAAATTTCATGGCATAAATTGGTGAACACATCCAGGGCTGTTAGTTGAAACATGTCAGTTGGTATCCCATTGATTCCGGGGGAATTATTGTTTGCCAGTGCCTTCAGTGCAACTTGAACATAGTTCTTCATTACCACTGGCTTTTGTTCATATATGGCAGTTCCTGAAATTTTCCAGTGTCATCAATTGCTTTTAATACAGCTTTGGCAAGGAAGGACTAGTCCTTGGAGAGGGACAGCACAGGAGAGAAAGACCCTCGATGAGATGGATTGATTAAGTGACTGCGGTAATGGAGGCAGGTGTGTTAGAGATAGTAAGATTGGCACAGGATAAGGCAGAGTTTAGGACTGGTGTACATAGGGTCGCTATGAGTCTCAAGTGACTTGACGGCACATAACAGTGACTTTGTATTCCTTCTGTCTTTTGATGCTTCATGGATCATTCAAGATTTTGCCCATAGCATGTCAATATTGCCACTCAAGGCTTGAATTTGTTTTTCAGTTCTTTCAACTAGAGAAATGCTGACCAGGTTCTTCCCTTCTTATTCCTCCAACTCCACTTCTTTGCACATTCTGTTATACTTTGTCTCCATGAGCTGCATTTTGAAATCTTCTGTCCATTGCATCTTCTATGTGCCTTCCCTTTGTTTTGGCTTCTTGACACAATTTCCAGCAGCTCTTTTTTTCATCCATTTTGATCTTTTTCTTTCTCCTCTGTCTTCATACGAACCTGAAAATCCCCATCGTTGAATAGATTGTAACCCATACTGGCCCCAAGGACAGAGCAGAACTGATCCATCAGGTTTTCAAGGCTGAAATCTTATGGAAGCAGACAGCTTCGTCTTTCTCTTGAGGAATCACTGATGAATTCAAACCACTAGTGTTTCCCTAACAACCAAATGCTTTAATCACTATGCCATCAAGAGGGAGGAATTTACTGCCATCGTGTTAATTCCACCTCACAGCCCAGTAGGGCAGAATAGAACTGCCCCGTTGGTTCCTAATGCTGGAATCTTGACAGAAACACGCTGACCCACTTTCCTCTCACGAAGTGGCTGGTGGATTCATAAAACCCATCTTCTGTTAGCAGTCAAGTGCTTAATCAACTATGCCACCAGGGTTCCTTGAAATATGTCATAAATCATTTAGTTTTCCAGAAAAATTATTGTATTGTCCAATAAACAGCCGCTCCAGCCCGTGAGCTGTAGTGATGCCTAATGTTTATGGAATGAATTATGTCTGTGTGATGCTCTGTTTATTTCCAGGGCTGCTGAGAAGGGGAACTTTGAAGCTGCTGTGAAGCTGGGCATAGCCTACCTCTACAACGAAGGCCGTGAGTGTTACTGGGGTCCTACCCTACCCGGCATGGGGCTGATGGTGTAGAAGAAGAACCAGGCTTTGCCAGAGTAAATGAGTGGTGGCCAGAGCTGAGGGAGAAGGGAAATGGGGGGAAAGAAGAAAGAAAGCGAGAAGGAGAGAGAACCTTTATGTTGCATTCATGTTTTTTTAAAAAAAATATATATGCCAGGTCGGCGCCATCCTCACCCTCTCTGCTGTTCCATCTCCCCGAGGCATTTTTTCACTGTCCTCTACCAAACATGAAGTCTGGTCCTTTCCTTTCTGATAACATTCCCCAAAGTATATGAGATCAAGTCTCACCATTATCACTTTGGACTGCACTTCCGAAAGAGCTTTGTGTTCTTCTGGCAGTCCGTGTTACGTTCGGATTCCTCAGCAGCACCTCAGTTCAGAGGCATCACTTTTTCTTATTCATTGTCCAGCTTTCACATGTGTAGTTGACTCCATGATTATGTTGGGTCAAAGCTATATAATTGGTATTTCTTATTCCATAGCAGTTTTGAACTTTAACAGATTTCTAATTTAAACAATCTTCATATGATTTATTAGCTTTATTAAAATAAATTTAAGCATGCAAAGAAACTTTTCTAGAAACTATATGCGGAATATAGGAAGCTCTGGCGGCCTAGTGGCAAGAAGCTGTGCTGCAATCCTGAAAGCACACTGTTAGGATTACCATTCTCCTCCCATTCAATTAACTGCCTTTAAAAACCTGCCAGAGGGTCAGCTATGAGTCAGTTCCGACTCTATGGTAAAAAGCAACAACATGTACTAAGGAATTTTACCATTGGTGTTTTTCTTTAATGACGCATTCAGTAAGTCTTGGTACTCTCCTCTGGTTCATTAACTTTTGCATGCCACTGTCATCTTCTGTGTGCCACAGGGGTCTGTCCTCCCTCCCACTGAGGGGCATTTCATTGTGGACATGGGGGCACTTTTAGGAGCCCTGGGAGCACAGTGGTGAAGCACTCGGCTGCTGACGGCCGCAGAATCTGTTAAGGGGAAGTTCTCTGTCCACAATCTTGCATGCCAGAACTGAGAGGGGCCTCAGGTGTTTGCTGCAGAAAGTCAAGGACTGCAGCCTTCAGTATGGATTGAAGCTAAACATCAAGAAGATTCTCACCATTGGGTTGATTGGCAGCATCATGATAGATGGTGAAGAGATACTTAACAGCTTCAGTTTGCTTGGTTCGACAATAAACACTCTTAGGACCAGCAGCCAGGAAATCAAAATATGAATTGCTTTGGGAAAGTCTGCTGTCAGCGACCTTTCTAGAGTACTGAAGAGCAATGATGTCAGTCTGGAGACTAAGTTGCACTTGGTCTTCACAGTTACTTGCTATGCATCAGAAAGCTGGACAATGACTAGGAACGATAGAAGGAGAACTGATGACTTTGAGCTGTGGTGCTGGAGAAGAGTATTGAATATACTATTGTCTGCGAGGAGAACAAATAAGTTCATCTTGGAAAATGTGAAACCAGGCTGCTCCTTGGAAGCAAGGATTCTAAAATGCCTCTGACGTACTTTGGACATGTTGCCAGGAGGGACCAGTCCTTGGAGAGGGTCATCATGCTTGGGTGGAGGGACAGCGCAGGAGAGGAAGACCCTTGATGAGATGGACTAACTCAGTGACTGAGGAAATGAGCGTAGTATGTGTGTCGGAGATGTTGAAGTTGGCTCAAGATAGAGCAGGTTTCAGAGCTGTTGATCGCTATGGGTCAAATGGCTCAATGACACAAATCGACAACTCTGTCCTACAGGGTTAATGAGTCAGAATTAACTCAGGCCCACAACATGTAGAACCATCACCACCATCTTTGGCTAAATGTTTTTCATGCCCCCTGCATATAAACAAGTGGCCAAGTGGTAAGAAGCTGTGCTGCATTTCCAAAGGAAAAGCCACCAACTGCTCTGCAGGAGGATAAGCAGTCTGCTCTCATGCAAGTTACAGCCTCTGAAAACCAGCTGGAGACTCAGCTATGGGTCGGTTCCAACTCGATGGCACAGAACAACAACAAACAGAAACTCATTAATCCTAAACCAGGAACTACCCTTCTAATCTACCTTCTCCCTCTATGCACTTGCCCGCCTGTGAGAGTTCATCTTAGTAGGACAACACATCATTTGGTGTTTGTTCGTTTGTTTGCTTTTACTTTTCTCATTAAAAAGACCAAAGAATTGTTGAAGAGCAAAGAATTGCTCTGAGCAGTATGGAGAACTCTGCCAGCCTGGCGAGGCACATGCCCCCCCCCAACACATAGACATACATACCCTGTGTGCAAGGTGAATCCTACGGTCTCTGTGGCTACCTCCGCCACCTGCCTCCCCTGGCTTGGACTCTTTCTGTCCTGGAGGTCAGAGGCTGCATGATCCCACAGTGTCAGACACAGCCATGGCTCTAGTGGGAGGTGGGAAGGATGACTCTGAAAGCCCCACTGAGGTGAAATGAACCCACGTGGTAACTAAAAGGAGGGTCATTCAAACTAACCAGCCACTCCACGGAAGAAAGAGAAGGCATAAAGTTCTATAAAACTTCCATAAAGATTCACAGCCTTGGAAGCCCTACAGGGCAGCTCTGCTCTGTCCAACAAGAGTGAGTCAGAGTCCACCAGATGGCACACCCCACCAGAGCTGGCAGATGTATAGAAAACAAGGAAGTGGGGTAGGAGGGCATGGAAGGGAATAATTGTTTGAAAAGTCAACTGACTTATGTTAAGGATGGTGAAAAATATTGCAAACTGGTGTTTATAAATGTCTACAATGTGGTAATATCATTCTGTCATTGTCAAAAATATGCACAACAAATCAGACACTGGTTTGATAATTTCTACATTGACTGAAGTTTTTCAAGTGGTACAGCCATTCTCTCTGCTTCTGAACTGTTCCTCTCCCACTGATGTAAACTGACCCCACGTCTGCTATTTAGTTTTCTAAGTTGCTCTTGTCACTCTGATCCTAGATGGTTCTTAAAAGAGCACAGTGCTCAAGCAGACATTATTTACTAGCTAACCAGAGCTATTGTTTGGTTTAAAGACACTTTGGAGGATGTTTTAGTTTAAGGTTTAAAGATGATCCCAGGCAGTAGTTTCAGAAAGTTTGGATTCTGTGTTCTGCTCCATATCCAGCCCTCTTTTTATCAATATGCTGCTATAGAATCAGATCAAAAGTATTGTGAATATAACTTATGTCACTGGATTCTACACAAAAATGGTTGAAACGGCTGTTTTGTTTAAATATGTAACACCTTTTCTGTGCTACAACAAAACAAAAGCCTTACCCAGAAGGGAAATTTTTGCCCAGAACCCCACCAACGTTAAGCTACAAGAATTTTGAGGTTGGAGATTTTCGGGAATGATGGTGGAGAACAGCCCTCGAGGACCCAGACATCTTGTCTATCTGTCTATCTGTGTAGTGTCCGTGTCCGATGAGGCCCGAGCGGAAGTGAATGGGCTGAAGGCCTCCTACTACTTCAGCTTGGCCGAGCGCCTCAACACGGGTGCCGCTCCCTTCATCTGGCTCTTCATCCGCCCGCCCTGGTCAGCCTCCGGGAGCTGCTGTAAGGCTGTGGTTCACGGCAGCCTCCATGCTGAGTGCCAGCTGCAGAGGGTAAGTGGAGGGAAGTGCCCTGTGCCTCCGTGACTAGGTGGGTGATCTGGGGGGAGCACCAGCTCCATTGTGGAGGTAAATATCAGGCACTGAGCCAGAAGAAGTGAGGCAGGGACAGAGTGAGAGCCTGGAGCTCTGAGGGGACCGGCTGTAGAATCCTGGTGGGCCCTGTTGAGCTGGGGCTCATCAGTTCGGCGAGCAGAGCCAATGTCTCGCTGCAAGGTGGGCACTCTGCACTGGGGCAGCAGGGCCGTAAATGGGGCCCACATAAACGCCAGGGCTGGGCAAGATACCGCACAGCACAGTATCTTTGTCAAGAATCCTTCTTACCCCCTCACCCTCATCTTAATTTTATAGTACTGTGCTAACCAATATCACAAGGGGGGAGTTTGAATAACAGAAATGGACAGACATGCCTGTTTTTACTGCATCCCTGTACAGCAGAGCTTTCTCATATGGTTTTCTCGGCTGTAATCCCTAGAGAACACATGCCTATGGAAACTCGATGAACTTGGAGAAATGACGGTAGTCATAGAAAGGCATCAGGTCTTTTGTTCATAGAGTCACTGTGAGTCATGCTCAACTCGACGGCAATCAACAACAACACAATCCTTATAGAAGGGAAGCATTGGTGGCTGAGCATATTTCCTGGTGGGCTGCTAACCAAAAGGTTGGTGGTTTGAATCCAACAGCTGCCCCACAGGAAAAAGACAGCTTCGGAACCCCTATGGAGAATCGCTGTAATTAGGAACTGCCTCCACAGTGGGCTTGGGTTGTGGTGGGAGTCGATGGAGAGGGTCAGGTCTTTCTCCTATGGAGCCACAAGGTAGTTTTGAACTGCTAGCCTTCCTGTTAACTGCCCAGCACTTAGCAGCGAATTTGCTCTTACCTCTCAGAGGGCTTGGTAAAGGCACATACAGCACTGTCAGGGCTTCACTCACGTTACAGGAAGGCCTGCTCCCTGTGGGACCACAGTCACCATTAAAAACAGGACTCGAGTTCACAGCATATATTTTGAGGGGACTTAGTTCAATTGGACACCTACTTTCATTCTTGTCCTTCCAGGCTCACCAAGCTTCCATCCTGCACTGTCTGGGGAGAGTGCTGAGTCTTTTCGAGGTGAGTGACATTTCTCAGTAGACGCTTGAGGCTCCCACCACATCCCTGCCCTGCTGCTCTCTGGGAGGCCAGGGAGTAATCTCGGCGTCAGACCAAACCCAGAATTCAGCACCTCAAATAAGCTGTGCACAGCAGCCCATCTGTCAGGAAGAGCTGTGCCCCACAGGGTTTTCTTGGCTGTAATATGCCTGCTGTTGGGAAGAGTAGATCGCCAGGCCTTTCTTCCTAGTCTCTCTCAGGTGGCATATGCTGACACGCAGAGTGGTGACAGCACGTGAAACAGGACATAAACCCCAATCTGCTGTATAGAAGAAAGGTCTCCTGCACTAGAACCATTTTTATGAACATTCTCACATTGTGTTTGTACAGACTTCGCTTTCAGAGTGCATTCCACACATTGATTCATTAATGCAAGAAGTGCATGGGCCAGGAATTGAACCCAGGTTTCCTGAGTTGAAGGCTGGAGTTTTCCCCAAAGCTAGCACTGCCCATAGTGTATCGAGGCAGCATGTTTGTCAGCTCTGGTTTTGCTTATCACTAGAAATAGAGGATGCATGGGAGGACTTAACAGCCTGCGGCCAGCGCAGGCACAGCCTGAGGGGTTAGTGACTCAATGGTGGATGGCAGGAGGACAGGACGGCCTGTACTCGTTGCAGGATGAAGAGAAGCAGCAGCAGGCCATCGCCCTATTCCAGGAATCTGCCCGCCAAGGCTGTTTGCCCAGCGCCTACCTGCTCTGGGAGCGAGACCAGAGAATGGAGGTGAGTGAGTGCAGGTGCAGAGGACAGTGTCCCTACATTGGCCCCCCAATAAGGAACTCTTCTGAGGCCTCTAGGGCACCTGCTGGGTGGTCGTCGGGGAAGCAGCTTCCTGGGGCTGTGGAGTTCAGACGTTCAGGAATCTGCCATTGATTCTGTGTCTAAAGACTCTCTGTCCACAGGTGTCTGACCCTGGAAGGTTCCTGCACAGCTTCCGGACACTCAGGGACTACGCTGCCAAAGGCTGCTGGGAAGCACAGGTGAGGCCCCTCGGCGGGTGGGGTTGTGGGGCAGGCCACAGCCTCCTATCAGGATTCTCCTCCTGTTTTGATCCTTTTATGTTAAATGTGCTTGTTTGGTGGGTGTCTTGGCTGTGCTCCGTGTTACTGTAACATCACAGGAGCTCACTAGCAAACGGAATTTCTCTCACAATTTGGGTGTCTGAACATCTGACTTTAGGGGACCAGCTCTCCGGCAGGCTCTCCCTGTAGGCTCTGGGGAAGGTCCTTGTCCCTTCAGCTTCTGCTTCCCGCTTCCTGGCAGGTCTAAGGTGGCCTCTGACTTCTCTCATCTTTTTACTCCACCTGCTATCTGCTCTCTCAGAGGAGACAGATTCAGATACTCCCTCTGATATCACTCACTTATCAGCATCCAGAGAAAGCCCATGGCTCGGGTGGGATTACAAACAGGCATACTAGGAATTAAGGAACCTGGTGGTGCAGTGACATGTTGTACTGCTAAATGTTACATGTTGCACTAAGCAGATCAACAGTTCAAGTCCATCCAGCACTTCTCAGGATAAAGAAAGTCCCCTCCTTTAAGAGACTTGGAAATGCCATGGAGGGTCGCTGTGAGAAATGACTCAGTGATCATGGGGATGGATAGAGTGGAGGCTACAGCACATTTTTGACTTGTTACTGTGGTTTGGATAAAGATTTACGGAGTGCTTTGATTGACGTTCATGCCCTTTGGATTCGTGATGTCAGTTGACAGTTAACAGTGCACTTGGTGGTGCATGCAGTAGTAGCAGCCCCCTTCCCACTTTCTCCTTGGGTTTCCATTTCTGTTGATCTTTCTTTCCATCCTTTTCCTCTCTGCCTTCTGCCTTTGACAAAAGCGGCACTTTTTTTCCTAATTATTTTATATTGATTTGCATACAAAGCTCTTATACATTGTGTTTCACACTTTCCTGCATTCACATTGTTTTATACCATCATTCCCATACGTGTGTAAACTTAATCCTCATTGAACTGTGCCCACCATTACCTCACCTTTTCAGGTCTCCACTGTGTCTTTCCCATTTCCTTTACCCCTTCCCTCAGCCCACCAAATTGTGTGACCCTGTGACCCCCTGCCCATGCTCACCCATCTCTGTTCCCATCCCTCCCCTCTTTCACCCCCTTATATATTTTACTAGTTATCCTGTTTTTTTTATTAATTTTAATAGACATTTACAGAGGTTTTGGATTTCCATTCATTCATTGCCGCACTTTTCTCCCTGCCCACCCCTCCCCACCAGCTCGCTACCCCCTCCGAAGAGAAAAAGAAAAAAAAATTCCTTCATTAGTATACAATTCCCCCACCCCGAGTACACTTCTCTATGCAACGTTAATTCTAGATTCCTGTGCTAACCATAATACTCAATTATATATCACTTCTAATCTGTTCTTTCCCTCATCTGTTTTAATACAATATGCATAATTTATCCAGTTTTTTCTGTCATACCCCAACCCTAATGTCAGACCCATTCTACAACAGTGGCACCATACAGTATTTGTCCCTTTGTGACTGAGATATTTCACTCAGCATAATGTCCTCCAGGGTCACCCACTTTGAATAATATTGCATGAGTTCCTTGTTTTTCAATGCGGTGTAGTATTCCACTGTGTGGATATACCACAGCTTCTCTATCCATTTGTTTGTTGATGGGCCCTTAGGTTGCTTCCAACTCTTTGCTATCATAAACAAGGCTTCAGTAAACATGGGTGTGCATATATCTGCTTGGATGGCAGACATGGTCTCTCTGGGGCATATTCCCAGTAATGGGATTGCTGGGTCAAATGGTATCTCTATTTGCAATTTTTTGAGAATGCGCCACACAGCCTTCCAAAATGGTTGTACCCAGTTATCCTATTTTTACAACTAACGTCTTCTGCAATATTTGAAAAAGTTCCCCTTTTGATCTCATGGTTGATTTTTCTATAGAATGATTCCTCTGATGATACTGATTACCTTACATGTCTATTGGTTGGTTGGTTGGCTGAAAGTTGAGATACAAGACTTGAGTTCAGTTGTAGAGCTGAAAGGTGACTGAAGGCCATAGATGCCCAGAACAATGTATATTTTGAAGAGCCACAATTCATTGCATAACATTAGAATTCTTTTAAGTGGTTGGGAAGTCAAAATGGTATTGAAAATGATTATGTGGAATGTTTCACTCCTGCCCCTACCCTGTCTAACTGTGCCTCTACCCTGTCTAGCCCAACTACCTGCCCCTGCCTCATCTACCCGTGCCCCTGCCCTGGCTACCCATCCTTAGCCTAGTTACCTGCCTCTAATCTAGTCTGTCCGTGCCCCTGCCCGGGCTACCCACCCCTACCCCAGCTGTCCCTGCCTCAGCTACTCACCTCTGCCCTGGACTACAATAATCTGTGGAAACTTAATTTACTGAAATTATAAAAAATTAAATGAGGGAAAATGTGAAAAAGAAAATTGAGCCAGAAAAATTTGGCTCAGCTGCTTTCAGAGAAGTCACTTCTACCAGACAGGAAATGATAGAAGAGACCATCCCGGAAAACTGTAGATGGTAACTCCAGGTGCAGGTTTTTCACAGCTGTGAGCTGGTGGTTGTCCATCAATTCCTGGGGCCTTGTTTGTTGCCAGTGCCTGCAGTGCAGCCCAACCTTCCTTCGATACCCTTGGTTCTTGATCATATGCTGCTTCCTGAAATGATTCCCTGTCAGTTCTTTTTAGTACAGAGACTCTGTGTGTGCCCTCGTCTTCTGACACTTCCTGGATCATTTGCTGTTTGGCCCTTCAGTGTTACAACTCACAGCTTTGGTGAATTGTTCCTCATTCATTTCAGCTTGAGAAATGCTGAGCGTGTTCTTCCTTTTTTGGTTTTGTCTTCTCAAGTTGCCCTTTGAAATCTTCTATTCAGCCTGCTAACTTCAGCATTCCTTCCCCATATTTTGGCTTCTTTTTATTCCTGTCCAAGTTTTGAGTCTTCTCTGATACCTATTTTTGTCTTTTCTTTTTTTCTCTATCCTTGTAATGACCTTTTGCTTTCTTCATGGATGATGGATGTCCTTGATGTCATTCCACATCTCATCTGGTCTTTGGTCATTAGTGTCCAATATGTCAAATCTACTCTTAAAATGATTTTTAAATTCCATTGGGATACACTGAAGATCGTATTTTGTTCTCATGGATTTGTTTTCATTTTCTTCAACTTCCATTTGAACTTGCATATGAGGAGCGGCTGGTCTGTTTCACAATCAACCCCTGACCTAGTTTTAACTGCTGTTATTGAGCTTTCCCATCTCTTTCCACAGATGTACATGTCAGTTGATTCCTGTGTAGTCCATAAAGTGAAGTCATAATCATGTGTATAATCATGCTTTATTATTTGGAAAAAGCATTTACAACTAATAAATCATTCGTTGTTTGACATTCTGTCGTGAAATTTTCCAGCTACTAGTTCTTCTTTGTTTCCAATTTTTGCATTCTAGTCGCTAGTTATTATTAATACCCATAATAATTTGACTTGATTGATTAATTTCTTTAACGGAAATTAATGAATTTAATAACATGCAGTGAATTTCAGACTACAAAAACTGATTAAAAAGTCAATTTTTTCATCTTTAGTTTTCATAGTTGGTATATATTTGAGTAATAGTTGTATTGAATTTCCTGGTATATGTGTTGATGTATCTTATCACTCACCTTAATATCATCCTACAAGGTATATCTTAAGTGGGAACACTAAGATAAGAGGATAAATGATGAACACTGCATTGGAACAGAACTGTTTATAAGGGATATATGATTAGGCATTATTTCTGTGACAACAGTCCAGAATAAAAGGTGCACAGCAAAGTGGACTGGGGGAAGGAGGAAATTATGCAACACTGAATGATTTTTTTAAGTGAATTGGGAGAAAAATGTGCAATAATGAATGAATGAATGAAAATACAACTTTTCTGTAAAATTTCATTAAAATTACCGTTTTTCTAAAAAGACAATCTTGAAATGCTCTCTTTAAAAATGAATGCCATACCATTCTTTGTCATTTCTGGCCTAGCAGATCATGTGATTGATTCTAAATGGCCAATATCAGTCTGTCTCAGCTCCCTAATACCTAGGATATTGATCTTTTTATGTTCCCTTTCCTTTTTTATAACTTCCAGTTTTTCTCCATTCATACTTTATATTTTCCATGTTAAGTTATTAGTGGATATTTGCAGCTGTTTCTCTTCATTTTGAGTCTTGCCACATTGGCCAGTGAAGGCTCTTGACCAGGTGAAAACTGTTCTCCACTCGTGTCGTTACAGTGAGCGCTCTGATGTGCAGCTCCTCCTCAGTCTCGGTGGCCTCCTCCCTGAGGGGCTCCTCTTGAGCCTCAGCGTTGTATCCAGCAATGGTCTTCGATTGTCCATAGAGCTTGTAAAGGCCTATTATTTGAGAAGTGAATGGCCAGTCCTGCTTTTTTTTTATTTTTTTGTGTGCGTGTACTGTCAAATCGGATCTGACTGGTACAGGAGGAGATTGTCCCTCCTTTTCCAGCAGAGCATCTGGTGGATCAGTCCTGCTTCTTAAGGTCTGCTGAAGCCTGTCCACCATGGGTGACCCTGCTGGTATTTGAAATATCAGTGGCATAGCTTTCAGCAGCATAGCAACATACAAGCCACCACATTACGACAAACTGACATACACATGTGGAAGATTCCCTTTTTGGGGATAAGCATCCCAAAATGTGTCACTGAACCCACTGTCCTCGACACAGCTTTGATGCATAGAAACTCTGTAGGATAGTACAACTGCCCTGGTGACTTTTCCTTTCCTTTTAAAACTTTTTATTATGACTTGAGTCAAAGTTTACAAATTAAATTGGTTTTCTATTCAACAATTCCACATTTTGATTTATGACATTAATTACAATCCCAACATTATAACAGCACTTCTCCCACTTCCTTCCTGGGTTTCTTGTTGTCATTCATCCTCCTGTCCTATTCGTGAGCATTATCTCTGGGCAGATGCTGCCCTTTTGATGTCACTTGGATGGCATTCTAAACAATGTGTGTCTCCCTGGAGTTGGTCATCTTTTAGGCCTGTCTATCATGTGCCTGAGTTGAGCCATGGGGGTGAGTTAATTTAAGGTCTGAAAGGTAAGTAAGGTCCCGGGTCCTCCTAGAGTTTTCTTGACTGTCGTCTTTACAGAAGCAAATTGCTGGCCTCATGCTTGACCAGCCTTTCAGGGAGAAAAGGCATGGTCTTCTGCTTCCCCCTAGAGATAAAGCCCAAAGCCACGGAGTTAGTGCTGTTAGTGTTGATGCTAATAGGGCAAAACAGCACTAATCCTACAGGACAGAATAGCACTGCCCTGTGGAGTTTTCAAGGCTGGAAGTCCTCACGGAAGCATACTGCTTCATCTTTTCACGTGGAGCAAATTGTTGGGTTTGTGTAGCCAATTTTTTTTCCATAAAAAAAGGGAATAAGACATTATTATTCTAACTGTAAATCAGTTGTAAAGATGTTAGTATGATATAAAATATGTAATGTACTAATTTGAAATAATGCATTTGCATTTTAATGTTAAGATCATAAAAGTGCTTATTATCCATGCTACTGAGTAAGGAACTTACTACATTTAGAAACTATTTAAAAGGTTCCTTGAAGAGGAGGTAAAGAAGTGAAGCTGGCCTATTCACATTGAAAATCTACACTATTTCTCTACATTTTGCCATCAAGGATCCCTGTGTTCTCAGATGGGCAGCCATGGCTAACATGTAGTGTGTATGCTTTCCCACAGTTGTCCCTGGCCAAAGCCTGTGCCCACGGGAACCAGCTTGGCCTGGATGAGAAAGCTAGCAATGAGATTGTCTGTCAGCTCTTCCAGACGTCCCGTGCCACCAGCAAGCAGCGCATCTTCTCGGTGCAGAAGGGGCTCAACGACACCATGAGGTAGGGTGGGGCCTCTAACCACTGACTTGAGGCATCATCACAGGCCAGCTCATGTCCTTCACCAAGCCTATCGGGGGCTGTGGGTATTTGTACAATACTACTGTCTGTTGTTATGTGCCATCAAGTCACTTACAACTCATAGTGACCCTATGTACAACAGCTCTGAACCCTGCTCTATCCTGTGCCAATTTCATTGTCTCTGACACACTCACCCTCATTCACCAGTCACTGAGCCAGTCTATCTCATTGAGGGTCTTCCTCTCCTGCACTGTCCCTCCACCCTCCCCAGTATGATGTCCCTCTCCAAGGACTGGTCCCTTCTAGCAACATACCCAAAGTATGTTAGACAAAGCTTCAGAATCCTTGCCTCTAAGGAGCATCCTGGTTTCACCCTCTACAGGCTGAACTTGTTCTCTTGGCTGTCCACAGTAAATTCAGTGCTCTTATCCAGCACCACAACTCAAAGGCATAATTCCCCTTTTATCATCCCTAGTCATTGTCCAGCTTTCTGATGCAAAGCAAGTGATTAGGAAGACCATGACCCTGATTAGGTGCACCTTGGCCTCCAGACTGACATTGTTGCTCCTCAGTACTCTTCAGAGGTTCCTGACAGTGCTGTCTAATCAGCTCTGCCCAGAGTGACTGCCGGGCTTCACAGAATTCTGTCCTGTTCCACCACTGTCCTTTTCCACAAATTTATCAGACCAAACAGAGACTCTGTTGTCTTGGACTGGATTCTCAAGAGAATCAAAACCAGTAGAACTTACATAAATAGATAATGAGACTCTGGTACGTGATTGCCAACTGAAATGTCATGATTCATATCTACTGCTTGTCCTAAGAGAGCAAGATAGACAGTCTCCTTCCATAAAGATTCACAGTCCTAGAATTCCCATGGAGGGCCACTGCATGCCAAGCTGGCTTCTCCTGGGCAGAAGCAGTGAAGCTGTATGTGCACACATGTACGGGGAAAGGGTGTGTCTTTGTATTATGTGTGGTGATCTTGTGTACAATACAACAAAACCTTGCCCCATCCTACCTCTGTCCAGTTCTACAGATTATTCGTCATCCCAAATTGGCACACTGTACCTCATCCTCTTGTTATGTGCTGTTGAGTTGAAACCAACGCACAGCTGACCTTCCAGTATGTTTTCAGGGGCAGTAAATGACACAGTAGGAGATTGCCCGCCCTTCTTGCCTGGAGCAACTGGTGGATTCCAACCACATGCTTTTGGGGATTGCATACAGAGCTCCCTGACTTAGTGGTCTATATTTTTAATATGTATGTTAACTAATAACATTATTTTGAGAGAGAGTGAGAGCTCTGGTGGCCTAGTGGTGTATGGAGCTATGATGTCAACCTGAAGGCAAGCAGTTCAAGTCCACCAGCTGTTCCATAGGAGAAGGATGGGCAGTTTCCTCCTGTATGATTTAAAACCCCTGAAAACTCTCTGGAGGCTAAGCTATGAGTTGATTGCAGTATAACAGTACACAACAACAACATCATGCATGTTTATAAATAATCCAAACCAAACCTACTGGCATCCAGTTATATTACATCATCAGGTTTCAGTGACTCCATCAGGTTCAGCTATGGTGCCTCTTTACAAGGGGATACTGCCCTTTCTCCCATGGACCCAGCAGCCCATCCTGTTACACACTGTGCCACCAGGGCTTCACTGTTTGGGGTTGGATAGTAGTGTCACTGGCTCTTTGCCACACGAGGGCATCTTCTTCAGGGCCACATCTCCTGTGCTCTCTGCCCATTTTCTGACGGCCTCCTGCCGCCTTCCTGCAGGTACATCCTCATCGACTGGCTGGTGGAGGTGGCCACCATGAAGGACTTTACCAGCTTGTGCCTGCACCTGACCGTGGAGTGTGTGGACCGCTACCTGCGCCAGCGGCCTGTACCCAGGCACCAGCTGCAGCTGCTAGGCATCGCCTGCATGGTCATCTGCACCCGGTAAGGGCCCCTTACAATGCCTTCTGGAATGTTCTTTAAGCAGTTACTGCCTCTCCAGGAAAGCTCTGGTGGGTAAGGAGTTGTGCTGCTAACTGTACAAGCAGTTAGAATCCACCACCGATTGCTGTGCAGGAGACAGATGGACAGTCTCCTCCCATGCAATTTACAGCCTCCAAAAACCCACTGGAGGGTCAGCTACAATGTCAATAGCAACAGGTTTGAGGGTTTTAACTTTTTACCTTACTTAAGGAGCCCTAATAGCACAGTGGATTGAGTATTGGACTGCCAGACGAAAGGACAGTGGTTCAAACTCGTCAGCAGCTCCACAAGAGAAAGGCGAGGCCATTGGCTTCAGTAAAGAGTCACAGCCTGGAACCCTCTTTGGGACACTTCTGTCTTCCCTGGCCACTGGGAGTGGAATCACTCACTGCCCACCAGCGCACGGCTCGGTGATGAGTCCTAGGAATGCTGTTCACATCAAAAACAGAAAACCCAAACTCGTTGCCCTCAAGTCTGAACAGACTCACAGCTCACCTGCCAGCAGATTTCCATGGCTGTCAGTCACACAGGAGGAGGCTGCCCTCAAAGCGGCTGGTGGAGTTGAACCGCCTGAGTTAGCAGCGCCCCTTCCTACAGAGTCAGCCACCAGAGCTCCCCTTTTCTTATACACAAACCAGTAACGAGACCTAAACCACTTTAGACTCCTGATCCTGATCCACTGTGGGAGCTGCAGGGTCCCTGAGCCAGGCAGTGCTGGCCCAGGCCACGGGCCCAGGCAGGTCTGGCCTGGCTGTTCCTTAGAGTGGGTACTGAGGGAAAGCTGAGAACAAGGTGACAGCGGCCAACCAGTGATGACCCTGCGGCTGGCCCTGGGCGTTCACCTGCCAGGCCACCTGTGCCCTCAGCCATCTGGATGCTGGTCATGGACAGGGCACACCAGCCACCAAGTTCTTCCCACAAACAGGGATTCTGAAGTTGTGGTGACTAGGGAGTCCCTACCCCAACCCGGGCCCTGGGGGACATTTGTGTGTCGGGTTCCCCACTCATCACTCTTCATCTTCATTTCCTCTCGCTTTTCCACTCACACCTTTTCACGTTCATCTCCCTTGGGCAGACAGGTACTATGTGAGCCTCAGGGTCCTGAGCCCATGTCGACCGCTGAAGTCAGGCCAGCTCTGAGTACTCTTCTCTATGTACAGCTTCATCAGCAGAGAAATCCTGACCATCCGCGAGGCCGTGTGGCTCACAGACAACACGTACAAGTACGAGGACCTGGTGCGGATGATGGGGGAG